ACAGCGTCAGCTACGCAACAAATCTCACTAAATGCTGTGACAAAAGTAAATGAAATTGCACTAAATCTACGGGGAATTTTCTTCAAAAATGTTCAACCTTTGGCTGAGCCCGAGCTGTGCCTGAAATTGGCTTAGGATTGTGCACAGCATCTATGCATCTCTTTCGTGCGCCTTCTGGCGCCCTGTAATCAAAAAAGGTACGAACAGGCCTAGGCCAAAGTGATAAACCGTTTCCACTGACATCGCATATAAATCTGCGACAAAGTTGCGTCTTTCAGACCCATGGACAGCTCCAAATCGTGCCGGATTTGTCACGCCGAATTGTTGAAAATGGCGTGCGTTGTTTATTCGCTCTATCCCCCCTGTACCCACCCCACCCCCGCCTCCTATACCTCCTTTAGTTTAGCCAGTGAATTTTGCACAAAACACTGGCTGAAGCAAAAACAACAATATCTGAGCAGCTCGTCTCCGGCTGTGCTCGTAAATCTTCGAGTGGCTTATCTATAACAAAACTGTGCGCTTTTTAATTCGCTGCAAAAAAATATGCAGAGACAAAAGGCAACACAAAACAAAACAAAAAAAAAAAAACCATGAAAATCCAGCAAATGTTAATGTCTATTTAAAATTAGGCACATGTTTAGCCTGCTGAAGCTGCTGTGAGAGCGCATTATGAATGCGAATATTATTTATAGAGGCAACAAACGTTGCCAAGACTTAGAAAATGATTGTCGAAATTAGGCAAAGAAACTGTCAGTGCTGTGCAGAACGGGAGGATTTTCTGAAAAATTGCTGACAGCATTTTTTTACATCTCATAATAGGATACTTATGATATCCTTGTTTATGTATATGAGCTAAATAAAATTTAAATTTAAAGCAATTTGTAACTAAAGCCTCAATGATTTTTAATAAAACAAAATAAATATATTAAATATATTCTTTTTTGGCAAAACAAAAGCTGCTACAGTCACAAATAATATCGTATATATAAAAATATAAATGTATACAAAATTTGCTTATCGAAATTTAACGTCCCTTTTAGTGGGTCATTTATCATAAGGCCCAGACGCGCCAACACAATGCCACTGATTGGAACAAAGCGGAGTGGAGAGCTTATATACATGCATATCTGCGACTTGATAAACGAGATGTCACATAAAACATTTTGGCTTATTACGAAATAAGCGGCCTATATAATGGCCTGCATTAACACATTAGCCGGCGGGTGAAGTGGGGGTGGTGTGTGAGGGGGGCGAGTATACCAAAGCTGACTACTGAACTCCAATTATTTTAGTTTGTAATTAGAAAAGATGATTAGCATAAAAGCAATTGTAAAATGCAAGATATAAAAATAAACAAACTCAGAGTAATTTGATGAATTTGATTAGATTCTGCAGCGATAAATAATCGCATGCAAATTTATTTAAATGCATATTTACCCACGTAATTGCTGCAAATTTACGTTTCATTTAGCGGCAACAAAAAAAAAGTATATTAAAAAAAAAAAGGACAGCAGGACACAGCCAAGCAAATGACCAAATGGCGGCAATGAAAAAGCAGCAAACAGATTATAACTCCCAGCTGACATTGCGGGCTTTATTATTTGGCCATTGAAAAATGCGACGCTGGCTGGGCTCCGCGACCCAAGTGGATTTTAATTTTTCAAAGTTAACCCACGGCGTGGGCGACCCTTTATTATGTTTGTTGCTGGTGTCGGCGGGTCGAGTCTGACAAGGACTGGACTGACCGGGACCGGACCTAGCCAGGAGGGTGTACTGTATGGAATTTGGCAGCACTTCATTTTAATGTTTACCTTTCCGAATGTTTGCTGATTGATCCCTTGGGTGGGTCAGCGTTTTGGGCCGGCGTAATTAATTTTGCTTTTTGATTTGTGCTAGCCAAAAAAAAAGAGGACCACCAAATTGTCACGTAATTATATTTGTGTTAATGATGTTTCGTGCCAGCCATGAAAAGTCAATTAATATTTTGGAAAATTTAGATTTGACATCAACATCAGCGCCATCAGGCGACGTGTCGGCAAGCGGCACGCGGGTTCTTTAATTAAAATTTGCTTGGCCGCAATTTTAATGCATGCTGTGATTTTTAATTTTCATTGAAATTGCAGCCGTCTCCCAAAATCTGTTATATATATTTTTTTATTCATTTGTATTTTTTGTGCTGTCGATAAGTCATTCAACTCGAGTCGGGCACGCGACTTTAAACCTTTGCCAGATGGGGCCGATAAATGCCAAATGATTGCTCCATTAAATTATATGAGCGTAAAGTAGCTATTAGCCGCTGTTTAAGTCGAAAACCAGTTTAGCTTTTTGCCAGTAGCCGTCGAGCGGACCAACCGTAACGGAATCAAAACAATAACAAAATACATGGAGCAGTATTCGGGTGTGAAATAGCTACTGAATGTATGCATAAAGTACTCAAGCAAATTGCTTGACTTAAGTGCTTCCTAAGTCTTAACTGTCGATTTGTAAGTCATCTTTCAGCCTTTTCCCTACATTGAACATGTTTGGGCTCATCTTTTAAATATATATGATAATGATGCTTGTTCGATTGCTAAGTTTCAACGTACGTGCGCCTTTCTCACATAGAGGCGCATATTGCAGCGTTTTTAATTGCAAACTTTTTCGTTCAAGCCGTGTACTATCACTCATACGTAATGTTACAGGACTTGAGCTCACATTACGCATACGCCATGTAACACGACAATGTTCGCATTGTATGTGAATGTGACGCCGCTCTGTCTGCCTGTTGCGCTCATTATGTACGTGCTGGAGCTGCCAGTGCTCCATGATACCTCAGATGGTGCATATTCAAGCCATGGCTTGAATCGTGCATACTCGATCTCTGAAGGTGCGTGCATCAGTATGAATTACTATTAATGGTGTGGAGAATAAATTGATTTTCATTGCATGACGACGTCAATTAAAAACATGTAAAACTCAATTGCCAATGACGTTTTTAAAATGCAGTCCAGCCATCAACGACATGGCAGACGCCCGCGTGCACACCGGCAGCTGTGCAAGAAGAGGAGCCGCCTCTTAATGAGTCGGCAAATGGCTGATAAAAATGCAGGGGGAATATGAAAAACGTTGAATGCCAGCTATTGAGTTGCCGTTGCTGTTGTCGCTGACATCGGTACGTGGCTCGCAAAGTTCCCGAAACTGACAGGAAACATTGATAAAAGTGGCAATAATGATTCGATTCGATTCGATTCGCCCGGCTTAATGACCAGCCATTAAATGAATCACGCCGTGAGCGCTTTTAAATGATTTAATACACAGCATTTAATAATAGTCAATGGAAAAGTTTTTTAATCAAACTTGCTTGCCCAATTTTTAATGAAATTACAACTTTGAAAGAAATGATGAAAAAAAAAATATAAAAACCCAAATAAATAGTTTTGCATTTTTTCAGTATGTTGCAAAATACTTGCGGTGGTACTTATTCGCTTAAGCAAAAAGCCCATTAACAATTATGACTTTCCTTTCGCCCTCAAAGTAGTTGAAACTTAAAAGCAAAGCTCACTAGCCTTGAATCGGGCGCGGGACTTTTGTTTAAGACCACCAACAGTTTGTATGGCTGCACTGTTTCCATGTATATAAGGAAGAAGACGCCTTGGCTTTGCCCCATTTCCAGTTTTTACTTTTGAAGTTCTTAATTCTTTGAATCTTAATGACTTCTCGTAATAAGTTTTCATTTCTCGTAATTTCTTAGGTTAATAGAATCTTTCCAGCTTGCTGCTGCAGTTGCCGTGTCGAGTAACAATAAATGAAATGACAGTGGGCAAAGCTTAGCACTTAGAGAAAACAGCTATGTTAAATTAAAAAATGTTTAATTAAAGTACGAGACCACACTGTTCCGTAAGCACTTTAAATAGATTGAAGCCAATCGCTTCAAATATTTGAGCCTGTCAGACTGTCGGTCTTATGGTCGATCCCACTGTAAGTACACTGCTCATTGAAACTTTTGTGCTGGCAGCAAAAAAAAAAAAATAAAATAAAAAAATAAAGAAAACCATTATTATGAAGTTGACACAAAGTCAGTCAGCAGCAGCAGTAGCTGCCAGGAAAAACGCAGACGATAATAATGACAACGACGACGATGTTGAGTCCTTGCGCCTGCCTGGAATTCCCAGCTATGAATGCTATTCAAAGGGAAGCGCTAGAAATGCATAAAAGTCGACTACATAAAACGCAGCAGGACCTCAGTTGACATTTATGCGAACCGCAGGCTCTGGCCTTAAGTTACAAAACGGCCAAGTGGAAAAGGAAAATAAGCCGACTCGAGAGCAATGCCACTCTGAGCCCCGTTAAATACTTCGGAAGGCCAGCTAAGCCCACATCATCGTCATCCTTGGCCGCGGCTAATCATAAATTCAAAAGCGGCAAAAGTGCAACGCAGTAACAATTAACTTATTAAATGGGCTTTGGGCCGAAAACAAAGGCCAAGCGGGCAAAGGAAACGACAGTGCAAAGGAAGTGCCCGTAAAAATTGTGAAAATGAAAGCGACCGGGGCGTCAAGATGGCCAACACGAAGTGAAGTACAGTAAACGGAAAGCAGGGCGAGACCAGCTCACCAGTCCACCAGTCCACCAGCCCGGCCCCTAGCTAGTTTTTTACATGCGTCCTGCGATGTCTTCGCTTCCGTAGTTGCTTCACTGCCACGTGGCGTAATTCATTTAACTGCGCCATCTTCAAAGTGCTTATGCTTGCTACCCTAAGCTCCTGTAGCGCACCCTTGATTGCCAACGACATTTGCTAATTAGCGAAATTGATTTGGAATTTATGATGCGCAAAATAGTCGGACTCTCTGTGGGTTGTCTCTAATTGAAACTTAATGTTTTGCATAGTTCCTTCAATTTACCGGCAGCTGTTTACACAACTCAAATCAAACTCATTCTTATTGTTGCATATTACATATTTTTCAATACTTCCTTCCCTCTCTGTTTGCAGTTGTTGTGACATTTTGGCAACATAAAACGCAATGGCGCCAAAGATGACGCCATTCTCGCTGCTCGACAAAATGGCGACGACGAGGACGCTCGCATCTTCAGCGGAAGTACAGTGGCTCTGCCGATTGCTGCTGCTCGGCGTTTGCATTGGCGCCGCCGCAACTCGAGGTAAAAATAGATTTTATTTCAACAATATTCACAATTTATTTATACAAATTTTGCCATGTTTATGCTATGAAATTCATAATTACAGCATTTACTCTTATGAATTTAGTCATTTTCTACCACACTTTTGAAATTTGCGCGATCTGGCAACACGAAACTTGTGCATCTGCATGTTAAGTTGGCTGCGCCTCGCAGTCTTGCATATTTAAACTTGATTTTACAAAATCCTTTTGCGAATTCATGAAAACTTTGCACAAAATAAACTGGCCATAAACGTGGTAGGAAATTGATTTAAACAAGCGTACGGTAATATGCTTCGAAAAATATCATGAATATCTGCACACATATATATATATATATATATATATATATATATATATATATATATATATATATATATATATATATATATATATATATATATATATATATATATATATGCATAGATTTTTTCATTCGTTGGTCAAAAGTGCATGCAAAAATTCATTTGGCAACGATATCAAAGTGTTACCAGCGGCGTATTGCGCGAAAACTAATTATCTGTCAAAATCATATTGCCAAACAAGTGCACAAGCATTGTCCTTTTTTGTGCAATGTGGCCTGCGGATAAATACACAAGCGAATATTAATAATTAAAATGTTAAAAGTGGCTGAAAAAATATACCTGTATAACCTGTATACATAAATATATATAGGGTACCAAGGCTGTGCTTGTACAGTTTATGAAATATTTAAATTATTGTCGCGTTAATTATTATCAGTTTTGCGCGCTACAAATATTGCAAATTTGGCTTTAAAAAATAAATGCCTACCCCAAGGCTGTGCCAGTTTTTCAGGGCAAACTCATTATTTAAGGATATGCTGCGTTTCATATGCTTGAGTGCGGCAGGCCTATATTTTTATTATATTATTGATTGAATTTCATTATGGTAGCTGAGTGGTACTTCGACTTTGACGGACATTTTCAGGCTTCGAGCCCATACTCTTGACTACTTTGAAATTTTAATCAGCATTATATTAACATGGCATCAATTCAAATCATATTCAACAATTCACTCAATGGACAATGCTTAAAAAAAAAAAATGAGGACAATGCACTGAAATTGAGTCTGTGCAACAGCGCAGACTAAATCCTGCCAATGAAATATGAGTGACAAAATCACACAGCCAATGTCACCAGGGCTTACATGGCCGTTTCGCTAGCGACAAACAAAATCCTTCGTCTCGACATACAACCGCGACAACCACAGCCACAACAAATGCAGCAAAAACAAATTTAAGTGTTGAAATCGTGTCGGTTCTACTGTTAAATATCCTGTGATCAATGTTAGAGTGAAATTCTGGTATAGCTTCATGTATGGCCAAATATAGGAATTCTATGAAATTCAGTTTAAATTCTTCTAACTTTTATAGTATCAGATGTCGACATGCTCACAAGAGAGACAGACAGGCGAGCTTCAGGACTGCAGATGAAGAATGCATGTGCTTAAAAGGGTAGAGAACTAATTAGATCTCTTACAATTATTATTGCTCAACCCAATCATACCCATTGGTATTGGTGTTAGGATAGAGGGTATTAAGTAACGACGATAAATTTATAAAAAACATATATGTATGTACATATTTCTATGGCACATCATGCATAAACATACTAACATATACATATCAATCCCATACAGTACTCGATGCTTGACCAGCATCAAAAGCAAAAAAAAAATTGCATTTGCGATGCAACGAATGCGGATCACGTGATTGCCATGGATATGCCATGGGATGGCTGGCTGTTGCTGCTGCTGCAGACGGCGGCCAGCAACTCATGGCAATTTCATAGCCATATTGCGACAATTTTTATTAAAATTTAGAATTTTTCAATTTATTTAGCACTTCTCTCGGACGCTGTCTATGACTACGCGCCACGAGTCGACTCGCCTCGACTCTCCGGTTGCTGCTTGCTTTTTGATTTGTTGCAGCTGCGTGAAATTGGTCAGCAAAAAATGGCAATGGACACCGTACGTGATTTGAATTTAGTTTGTCCATTCTCCCATCTGCCCACAAAAAAAAAAAAAAAAAGCAAAAAAAAAAGGGAAAAGGAGTCAGCATTTTGTTTGTTATTTAAGCGAAAAGCGATTGCCAGCAGCTTAAATGCTGCCTAGCCCGCAAATGGCCAACAGGAATTTAAATTGAATTAGCCATTTTAGTAATAATATAGCCAACTATCATGGCCCCTTTGCATGTTGCGGAATTCCGATGGGCAAAAGGCACTGCGCTGCCAAAGGATCCAACGTGCAGACACACAATTCCCAGGGGCAACCACTCAGGCACAAGGAGCAGCAATACACAGTTGCCCGCCAGTGCATGCCGGACTCAGTAAAATCAAATCTGCAGTGGCACATGAAACAAGTGAAAGCAAATTAAAAATTGCAAAAACTGCTGAAGCATTTGTTTTGCAGATGTTCCTTCTTCTGGCTGTTGTTGTTGTCGCTGCTGCTAGTTGACTGCCCCCGCACTGATGACTGTCAGCACGCTGATAAGTGTTACAGCCGTTGGTTGCCAGCTCCAGGCAGTTGCCGGGACATCCTTGTTTGTCTTTCCGTTCGGTCTGCTGCTCTCGCTGTGCCATCCACTGACCCAGGCAAATGCTAATTTTATTATGACAAATGCGCAAAGTTGAGGCGAAAGTGTCGCCGTCCCTTTTTTCATTTTATTGCACAATTTATTTCCTGAACTCAAGTGAATCAGCAGTTCATTCAATAATCTTTAAGAGCAACCTTTACTCAACTGTTGTCAGCTGTCGTTAATCATTTATGATGCTCACTTCATGTTGCGATCAGTGCTCGCCACCGTCTTACACAGCGTTTTAATCGCTTGAGGCTTGAGCACTAATTTGCAAAACACAGGCTTGAGCAAATAAAACAGGGGCCATAACTTATGCGGCTCACTGTGAGCGGCTAATTGAAAATGATCGCACAGAACGGCAACGATAGGCTTGGGGCAGCTGCAGACAGTCGGCTCGGTCAAGTAGCTGCGCTTAACTTAAATAGACATTTAGTTGGCATTACAGCAACGCCCACAGAAGGTGCGGCGGAGAGGCAGTGCATCCCAAGTCCAGCTAACAATCTTGTTGGCACAACTTCAACACCAGCGCAGCAAGAAATTGTTAAACAAACCGACCGTAAGTCGAGATTGCAGCCAGTTGCCTCTGCGCCTGCGCAGCTGTCAGCTCTAATCTAAATAAGCGATTTGTCTGCGCATAACTTTTGCCTTAACCGGATCGCAGGCTCCAAGCAGAGTGTGGCATGGACTCAGCCAACCGCTTCGATGTTGCCTTTGCCGCAGCCTGACTAAATAATAATTTGTATAATTTATTCCATGGAACTCTAGGCGGCAGTTCAGGAATTTACAGCGTGATAGCTTCTTATGGCCAGCTGCCTAGTATTCCAGCGTCGCACTTCAACTGATACTCTTATAAATAATTAACACGTGCATAGTTACACCTTGAAGTGGAAAAAGCTGGCATTGCAATTTAAAGCTTCTTTTTATTATGTTGTTTCTTTTTTTTTTGACTTTCTAGACTTTGTGATGGTAGTTAAATTACGCAGCTTCCGGCAGGCGTTTGAATTCGTTAGTGCAGCAACTGCTGCTAGAGAAACATATTTCTATTGTCTACCTTAGCAGAAAGTCAGGGTCTAATAGGCGCATTCACGGCTAAGTACGCAGCTAAGAAGAGAACTTCCGTGTCCTTGGGCAAACCTTTTTGTCAACAACTCACTGAGTTACTTCACATCTGAAAGCTGTCTGTCGAATTGTTAATTTATAATATAGTAGAGTCTGACATATCATATTTGTAACAAACTTCGTCCAGAACAACAATGCTGACAATATTCAAGCGACAACAACAATAGCTTAGCTGTTAATTAACCAATTTTTAGCAGTTTTAAGCAAAGCAGCTCGCCACCAGCTGTGACACATTATTAAAAATTGATGCATGATTCTGAGCGATAAAATGTGCTATAGATTTGCAAAGCTTAGGAATTTTTGAGTATATCTTAACAAAAGAAATCCAAGTCGATTGTTTCAGCTCGGCACCGATTCACAATGCCAACAATATCCAAGTAACAAGAGCAACAGCTCGGCTGGTAATGAATTGCCGCCTGCTGCTCGGCTTTTAGTCAGCGCTGCCACACAAGCATTTCGAACAAATTTTGATAATTGTTTACTATTATTATTATTTATTTACAATGTACCCCAACATTGCAGCCACCCCTCGTTATCACTGAAGTTTCATGCAGAGAGCTTTAGACAATAGACTTTCACAGGCAACCGAGTCGCTCGCCTGTCTAGTGTCTAGATTTCTTCTTGCCTGGCATTCCATGGATAAAATTTAAGCAGCGGGTGGGCGTGTGTGTGTGTATCTTTTTATGTTCCTATGCAAAAAGCAAGCGGCTAACACATACATTCATGCTCACTCAAACACAGTCATGCACGTGCCGGTTGAAATTGTATAGAATTGTTGCTGTTGCTGTTGTAATTGTTATTCTTCTTGCGGCATTGTTGCAGCTTAATTGAAAATATTGTAACTACAACGTTACGTTTATAAGTGTATGTGCGTGTGTGTGTCTCTGTGTGTGTTTAGTAATCGCTTGCAGCATTTCGTTGCGCCGCACTACAAATGAAATTAATTGAATCCCGCGGGCTGTGCACAAACTCCCACACAAACTCCCACACAAACTTCCACACACACACACACACACACGCACACACATACGACAACACACACATTGTTCCTTAATGCTGAGCAAAGTTATTTAAGCATGCGAATATCTAACTTTTCACGCCTAATAACTGCCGGCTATTGACGTTTCCCTGAGAATTGGCCAACTTGCTGAGCACGGCGAGGGAAACAAATGAAATATAACTTTAAATTGGGCATAGTTAAGTAGACTGCAGTGTCAAATCAATAGGTAATGCTTACAAACTCTTCATTAAGCATGTAGTTCTGTTGA